TCTTGCCACTGTGCCTGTCCATCTCATTGGCCTCCCCTAACGTAGGGGTCCTTGGGTGGTGCAGTTAGTTACCACACTCAGATGCTGATGAAAAAATTGGAGTCTACCTGAAGGCGCCTGAAAAGAAATGTCTGGCAATCTACTTATGAAAAATCATCCACTGAAACAATATGAAGCACTTCTACTCTGATATACATGAATGCCCATAAGGGCAACTTGTTGTGTTTTCTTGTGTTTGTATGTGTGTCTGACCCCAAGCTCTGCAAGTAAAAATTGTCCTATCCCCTTCTGGGAGTCCCTTGTTATAGTTGTTCCATGCTGTTGAATCAGTTCCAAGTCATAGCAATCTGTAAATGGTTTCTGAGGAGTGCCTGGTGGCTCAGCATCCCTTGGAGATCTCCATGTGTCTTGACATCAGTCTTCCCCTGGAACTAGGAAGTTCTTGACCCAGGGACTCTTGGTCTAAATGAAGCCCTCTGCTCCGGGCTCCTCTTTCTTGGTGGTACTGAAGTGCCCTCTTCTCTGCTTGTTTCTCTCTCCTTTTATCTCTCAGAAGATCAAGTCACACAGGCTGCACCCAGGGAAACCCTTATATCTGATCAGCGTGTGTCCTATATAAGGGTATTCCACCCCATCACTCATCTGTCAGTTTGTCGTCCTGTGGTGGCTTGTGAGTTGCTGTGATTCTGGAAGCTATACCATGGGTATTTTAAATACCAGCAGGGTCACCCATGGTGGACAGGTTTCAGATGAGCTTCCAGATGAAGACAGACTAGGAAGAAGGAGTGACGAACTACTTCTAAATATTTAGTCACTGAAAACCTTATGAATAGCAAAGAAACATTGTCAGATATAGTGCTGGAAAATGAACCCCTCAGGTTGGAAGGCTCTCAAAATGCGACTAGGAAAGAGCTGCCTCCTCAAAGTGCAGCATCCATGGACTAAAGCGTGGCAACAATTCTGAGGTTGGCCCAGGACCAGGCAGTGTTTCATTCTGTTGTTGCTATGAGTCAGTACTGACTCAATGGCACCTAGGAACAACAGCAACCCCACTCTATCCGTGCCTCAATAGCATAACAAATATTGCCTAATCCTGCCTCCATTAACTACTGGCAGAGAATAGGATTTTATATCAGATCATAAAATAGAGGACAGGCACATAACACTAGAAATCATGATCTAGCAGAGTTGGCACGTAATTAGTGGGAGGAAGGGTCATCAGTTCAAGTTATGGCAGCTACTGAATGAAAGGCTGTAGATGCAAGTCCACCCTGAGACACCTCAGTAGAAAGGTGCCCTGCTTTTGAGAAACTAGCCATTTGAAACTCTACAGGGTAGCCTTCTACTCTGACACACCTGGGGTCATAATGATTTCGAGCTAACTCCATGACAACTTCAAATCTGCTGCTGTTGTTAGACACTTGCAAGTTGGTTCTAACTCACATTGACCCCATGTGCAACAGAACAAAGCACTGCCCAGTCCTGCACCGTTCTCACACTTGGTGCTACGTTTGAGCGTATTGTTGGAGACACTGCATGAATCCATTTTTTTGCAGTTC